ATCAAGAGGCAGTCATTCTAACAGAACAAGGGGATCCCTTGTGGTCTAAAATTAAGAAAGGTGTGCGGCAGGGCTGTATTCTTCCAGCGTTCTTACTCAATCTGTATACTGAGCGTGTAATCTGAGAACTGGACTATATGAAGAACATGGCATCAGGATGCGAGGAAGACTCATCAACAACCTGTACTATGCAGAGGATACAACATTGCTTGCTGAAAGCGAAGATGATTTGAGGCAGTTGCCGATGAAGATCAAAGAACATAACCTTCAGCATGGATTACAAGTCATTGCAAAGAAAACAAAAATCCTTCCAAGTGGACCAATAAATAGCATCATGATACATGGAGAAAAAGATTAAAGTTGTCAAAGATTTCATTTTACTTGGATCCACAATCAAACTTTTGATCAATGTTTGATCAATTTCATCCTATAAAAGTTGGTAGAATTCTTCAATTTCTTCATTGATGTTAGTGCTGGTTGCATAAATTTGAATACTAGTTGTATTAACTGGTCTTCCTTATACGCATATGAATATTACCCTATCACAGCTATCAATGTACTTCAAGATAGACCTTGAAGTGCTCTTTTTGACAATGGATGAGACCCCACCCTCTTCAGTTTCATCCCCAGCATAGTAAACCATATGAATGTCAAATTCAAATTAGCCAGTATCAGTCCATTTCAGTATGTCAATGCCTAGGATACTGATCTCTATGCATTCCATTTCCTCTTCCTAGATGAATACTTTCTACATTCCACATTCTGATGATTAATGGATGTGATGTTTGCAGCTGTTTCTGCTCATTTTGAGTTGTGCTCCATCAGTAAATAGAGCTCTCAAAAGCTTTATTCCATCCACATCATCATGTCAACTTTACTTTGAGGAGGCAGCTCTTCCCCAGTTGTATTTTGAGTGGCTCCTTCTTCCTAGTCTGTCTTAATCTGGAAGCTCTGATGAAACCTGACCACCATGGATGACCCTGCTGGTATTTAAGATAGCTTCCAGAATCACAGCCATACACAAAGCCAGTGCTGTAGGGCAAACGGACAGATGAATGGTGGATAACAAAGTTATCTAGTGCTGCTATAATAAGAATACCACACATGTGTGCTTTAGCAAACAGAAATTCATTCTCTTACAGTTTAGGAAGCTATTGTTGGTGGTGGTAGTATCCTTGAATCGGTTCCAACTCATAGCAACCCTGTTTAGGGTTTCTAAGGCTATACATTTTTACAGGAACAGAAAGCCTCATCTTTTTCCAGTGGAGCTGCTGGTGCGTTTGAACCACTGACTTTGTGGTTACTAGTCCAATTCTTATCCTACGGATATTGTTGTTAGGGACTATAGAGTAGGTTCCAACTCATAGTGACCCTGTGCATAATAGAACGAAACACTGCCCAGTACTGCATTATCCTTACAATTGTTGTCACCCTTGAGTTCACTGCTGCTGCTATTATTTATGTTCATCCATCTCGTTGGGGGTCTTCCTCTTTTTCCCTGACACTCCACTTTACCAAACATGATGTCCTTCTCATGACTGCTCCCTCCTGATGACATGTCCGAAGTTACAAGGGAAGACATCTAAAGAGCATTCTGGCTGTACTTATTCCAACACAGATTTGTTTGTTTTTTTTGGCAGTCCATGGTACTTTCAATATTCTTTGCCAGTACCATAATTAAAATGCATAGTTTCTTCTACAGTCTGCTTTATTCATTGTACAACGTTCAAATGCATATGAGGTTATTGAAAATGCCATGGCTTGGGTCAGGCACACCTTAGTCCTCAAACTGACATCTTATCTCTTGAACACTTTGAAGAAGTTTTGTGCAGCAGATTTGCCCAATGCAACACGTCTTTTGATTTTTTGACTGCTGTTGCAGAGAGGGGTTCATATTCAGAATACAGACTTTAAGGAAAGGCTTTCTGCCTCTGTGTCTCCTGGTTTTAGGAGGTTCCCAGAGCAGGAACCCCAGCTCCAAAGGATGTGTTCCACTCCTGGTTTTTCTTTCACTCTTTGCTTCTCTTTCCTTGGATCTCTTGTAAGATAAAAGTGCTGCAATCCACACTCCACGGAAACTCCTTTTACATTGGCTCAGGGTTATGACGTCTGTAAGGGTGTTGTGTCTCATTTAACGCCCTTACAACTGATTGACTGATTCTATCAGACCACATCATGGGGAATTACTACATCATTCCTTAACTGCCAAACCTCTGAAAATCATGGTCCTGACAAGTTGACAAATATTTTGGGAGGACGTCATTCAATCCATGACACCTGTGTACCCCCACTCTCTCATAAATAGGACAAGCTATGTGCTGAAGCATTGTTTGCCTTAACAGCTCCTACAGTTTAGACTAAGAGAAGTGGTTGTTGTTGTTAAGTACTGTGGAGTCGATTCCCACTCACTGCGACCCTGCACAGGGTTTCCAAGGAGCGGCTAGTGAACTTGATTTGCCGACCTTGCATTAACCTTCAAGAAGTATAAATCTCTGCCTTGTCACTGGTACCATGGCTAGGGGTATCAGAGTGCTCCCGGGGACAAGAGCTACACAGAGAGCTGGGGTGCCCAGGAAGAGGCTGCTGAGCATCCGCTCTACGCCTGCTGCCTCTGATCCTTATCCTCTGCCCATCTGCCAGTGAGCTGGCTGAGCTGTTGTTGGTGGCCTGGCCCTGGGTGGCTTCCGGAGGGTCATAGGGGTCAAAGTTGGAATGAGGATTCTGAGATTAGGAGATGAGGCCTCGGCGGAGCTCAGGGTCCCCTGGTCATTTGACTCAAGGTGCAGGAAAGAAGGAATTTGGAGCAACATGAAACTTGCAATCTGCTGCATGCTATGTGTCTTGCAGTGAAACTCCGAGGGAGAGGGCCTCTTTCCTTCTCCTTGTGCACCTTGCCTCAGGGCCTGCTGTCCTCTCAGTGGCCAGTACCTCTTGGGCATGTAGGTGTTGGTCACTCATCCATTGCTGAAAGGAAGTCACCTAGTGGCAGTTTCGTGCAGGTTCATTTTGCAGTTGGCTGTTTTCTGGCTGTCCCCACTAACAGCTGCTCTCAGACAGGGGTTCCTTACTGCCCATAGCTCTTTCTCAAGGTCAGCGTAGTATGGTCTGTGACCAGTTTCTGGAGGGATGAAGGACTCCTTCCCTGTGGGGATTGGAGTCTCCCTTCCTGCCTTCTCAGGGGCCACCCTCCACCCTCCACACCTCCCTCCTTCCTACTCCTTCCCAGTGAGGTCTTCCTTGCTGCTCTTGTAAATGCTCCTTCCCTCTGCGGGTCCTCCTGGGGGCCTCCCTCCCTCCTCTGATACCCCCTAGGGACACGCAGCCCCTTAAAGTCACCAGCACCACCCTCAGACAAGGCAAAGTTGAGCGCACTACTGCTGAGTACAGGCAGCACCCCAGAGGGTCAGGAGGCACCTAGAATTGGAGGTCCCGGGAAGAAGGGCCTGTCCACGTGGGAGACGATGAGGGAGACGATGTGGTCACTACACAACGCCCAGCTCAGCGGAAACACGCAGCCAGGGCCTGGAGGGGGGGATTCCGTTAGTGAGGTGATGGGTTTGTGGAGATCCCTTTAAGAAACCAACATCGTCATGTCTCCGGAGAGCTAAACTCGCCTGAAGACCCGGGACCGCAAACTATGCTCACGGGGACAGAGCAGCTCCGGGGTGCGGGTGGGAGAATCATCCTCCACCTCCGGGTGTTTTGCGCACCGCAGCGTCGGCGTGTCCGGGAGTGCAAACGGAACGACCCACGGCCAGCTCTGTCCAGATTCCCGTGCATGGCCGGGCCCCGTGGCGCCAAGTGCTGGGGGGAATGGAAGAGGCACACGTCCTAATAGGTGTTCCACGTACTCCTCTTTCTCTGTGATCCACGGCCCCGGCCTCCAGGGTCTCTCCCCTCTTCGGACCTCACACTGAGACCCCAAGGCCCTTACCCACCATGACATCACTTTGGGATCCCCAGGGTCCCTTCCCTCCTCCCATGACCCCACACTGGGTCCCCAAGGCAGCGTCTGGCCGGTCCCCTAGGAAAGCCAAGGGAAGGCCTCCTGCCTGCGGAGATTGCAGGGCATAAACGAGTAGGAGCAACGCCCCTTTCCGCTCCCCGCCCTTGGGAAGTGGCAATCTGCGTCGTAGTTTGCTTGGCTGCTGCAGGTGCAAACGCCTTCAACTTTCAGACCAAATTCGGGAACAACGAGTCCCGGTTCCGGCCCTAGCTGGAGTAGCGCGCAAGCGGGTGACTAGAGGTCCCCACCAGGTATGCGGGTCCACGCACATCCATAGTTCTCTGCCCAGCGCCTCGCAGGCCCCGCCCCTCCAGACTCTGCCCCGCCCCTCTCCCCGCCCACCCGACTCCCTACAGGAAAGCGCCTGCGCAGAAGCAGCAGGCGCACTCGGAAGCCCTGGGTGGGTAGGGAGGCGGCGGGGCGACGACGGCGGCAGCAGCAGCAGCAGCAGGATCTGAGCACTCTGTGCTAGGACCCCGGCCTCTCGCCCGGACGCCCCTGGGGGCTCGGGGCCGCGGGGCCAGGGGATGGCGGCGGCAGCCGAGCCCGGGGCCCATACCTGGACAGGCGGCGGGTCCCCGCGCCCCGGCAGCCCGGCCTCCAGTCCCGTGCTGGGCGGCGGAGGCCGCGTGCGGCCGGCGCCCGGGATGGAGAGGGCAGGCGCCAGGCACCCGACCCCCTCCGTCACGCTGGGCCACAGCTTCCGGAAGGTGACGCTCACCAAGCCCACCTTCTGCCACCTCTGCTCCGATTTCATCTGGGGGCTGGCCGGCTTCCTGTGCGATGGTGAGGCTTGCGCTCCCCGCCCGATGTAATGCGGGTCCTGGGACCCCTGGGGTCCCCGCTTTGCTAGTGAGGACCAAGCTCCCCTCATTCTCGACTGTGTCCATCTGGCCCCTACGTATGGGACCCACAGACCCCACCACCCCAGGACCCCACCAGCCCCATCAGAGAACCCGTGAGTGCTCCAAAGTCTGAGGCTCCTCCGGGATCCCGACTTCAGGACCTACCACTATTCCTACCCCAGCCCTCATCCTGACCGGAAGCCACCTTTCTGCCCCATTCTTCCGCCTTAGGCTGGACAGCTCACCTTTGACCCTGCCCCTCCTAGCAGCGGCCTCCCGAGGACAGAGTCCTCCGGCAGCCCGGGGCCACGGAGGGAGATGGTGGCGGCGGCAGCTCTTCCCGAGTGGGCGGTGGTGGGGGGTCCTGTTCCGAGGCACCGGCCCTGGGCATCTCGGCCGAGCATCCTGTGTGTGCCTAGGAGCATTGGGAGCGTGCGCAGCCTGTGCGAGGATTCGGGACCTATGGCTCTTGCTGCGGGATCTAGGCAGAGGGTCCTCCTCCTCCCGGGAGTGGGGCAGAACCGTCCACAGTTCAGTGATGCTATTGGGATAACTGAAGGAATTCCCCAAGCCTGGGGCTGGTGTGTCTTGCCCACCTGCTCCCGAGCCGAGGTCCCTAATGGTTTGCTGCTGCCCAGAGAAACTGAGAGCTGACTCTGCTCAGGCGCAGCCTCCTGGAAAACCAGCCGGCCGGGCCAGTGCCTGTCATCTCTGGGTGCGGCGTGCCCTGACATGGCTCCTACCCAGATGCCAAGCAGGCCAGCCTGGGCAAGGAGGGCCCTTCCCTTCTGTGGCGCCCTTGCATGCCGACCCGGGCCACTTGTGTGCTTCCGGCTGGGCCTCTCCTACCTTTGCCTCCTCCTTCCTGAGGCTGCTGAGCCCAGGGTACCCTGCCTGCAGGGGAGGGGCTCACGGGCAGCAGCTGTTTGTGATGCAGTGGGGGACTCTTGTGTGAAGTGTAGTGACCATTGGCTGGCCCAGGGTCCTAGAGGTAGGACAAGATGAGGAGCAGGGAGGAGCCTTCTGAGGGGTTGCCCGGTCTGCACAAGTGGGGGCTTTCTTGATTGCAAAGAGAGCTGGGACCCCCAGGCTGCCAGAGGTGGTCTGTCCAGCTGAGCCTGGAGATAGCCCCTGGTTGCTGTCGTCCTGCCCTGGTGTACTGAGTGGCTCATCTGAGGAAGGAGGGAGTGTGTAAGCTAAAGTAAGGACCCTCTGGACAAGAGAGATGTACGAAGGATAGGCTGAAGCTAGACCCTAGGACCCTGCAGAAGTGAGTAGTGGAGGTAGAGCTCCAAATCTAGGCCAGAACCCAGGACCTGGGTCTCCCTCACAGACATGATCTCTGCAGGTGGGGTTCTAGGGCTTAGGGAGAGGGGTATGGAGGCAGATTACAGGGCAGCCTGTGGAGTGTTCTTCCCATATCTGGAGAGGACTTTGAGTGATTCTCAGCAAGCAGAGATGTCTGGCAAGGAAGTACCTTCCTGGCCTGGGAGTACCCAGGATGGGGGTGGGGAAGGTGGCTAAGGACGGCCCAGCTCGCACTATCTCCATGTCCCAGGGGAGGAAGCCCGCCTGTTGTAGCTGCCCCGCTGTGACTTAGCTGGTCTGGGGTGCTAGGGGAGGAAGCTGACTGGGAAGCGGGGAGTTCCTCCAAGTTGGCCGCATTTGGGCAGTTTTCTCTGGAGCCTGGCCACAAAGCGGCTTCTGTCTGTGCCTCTCTAGGGGCTGCATGGGAGGCAGAGGACACAGCTGGGTTGTCCCCACAGTGTGGCCTTCCCCACATGGGGAACATGCCAGTTTCCTGGGAGGTACAATGGTCACAGCAAACTGTCTTGGAGAAGAAGCCTTCCCTAGACCTACCCCACTTTCTAGTTGCCTGCAACTTGTCCACCCAGTCTCCTGCCCACTGGGTTCAGTCCCACCCACCCATCCTGTGTGTGGCCAGCTCTCCAGCCGCCTCCTTCTGCTACCCTCTCCTGTTTCCTCCTCCCCAATCTCTCTCCCTCCCCCTTTCCCTCCAACCCCCCCAGCCCTCTTTTTAGCCCTCTACCCTTTTTCATCTTGCTCCCCACGCCACACTTTAGCCCTCTCCCTCCTGTCCCCTCCTTCCTTCCCTCCTGCCCACTGTCTGGTCCCTTCAGGCTGTGACCTTCTCTATGACCCTGCCCTGACCCAGTCCAGTCTGTGAAAAAGGTACTCCCTGAGTGGGCCTGTGGGTAGGGTTTGTATGGTCCACTGAGGGTGGTCAGAACTGAACCAGACCTCTGTTCCCGTGTGTCCCCCCATTATTGCATAGTGAGCACCGTGAGACTGGGGGCTGCCCTACCGCACCCCCACAGGAACTGCCTTTCCCATCACTGTCTGGCAGAGAGGCCCCTATCTTGAGGTAGCCGGTCCCAGAACTGGGCGCTTGCCGTGGCCACTGCCATCCTGCCGAGCCTGGACTCTGGGCTCCTCGCTGTGACGGGAGTTGTCAGGGGAGACCTCCATGGCATTTCTCGTTCCCACAGTCTGCAACTTCATGTCCCACGAGAAGTGTTTGAAGCACATGAAGAACCCTTGTGTGTGCGTCGCACCCAGCCTGGTCCGGGTGAGCCTACACCTCTTGTCCTGCAGGGGCCAACCTCGTAGACTGGTGGGCAGGCTACTTTTTCCTGGATGATTGCTATCCACCTTGTTGTTGTTGTTGTTGTTGTTAAGTGCCATAGAGTCGGTTCCGACCCATAGCGACCCTGTACAGGGTTTCCGAGGGTGTAAATCTTTACCAGTAGAAAGCCTCATCTTTCTCCCACGGAGAGGCTGGTAGTTTCGAACCGCTGACCTTAAGGTTCGCAGCTATCCACCTTAATGCCGTGAAATTGGTCCGCGTGCATTGTTGAAAACCAGTAAGAAGGAGTGAGCCATATGCTCCCCAAGGGGTTGTGAGACAATCCATCCTAAAGGTCACCTACTGGATGATTCCATGGAGGACAGATGAGTGGCTTACCAGGGCTCTTGGTGGTGTAAAGGGTTAATACGCTCAGCTGCCAACTTAGAGCCCTTTGTGGCTGGTGGTTGGGGGGCGGGGTGCAGCAGAGACTGGGCCATTACTGAGCCCAGACTCTGTGCTCCCCCCATGCCCCCAGGTTCCAGTGGCGCACTGTTTCGGCCCCCGTGGGTTGTACAAGCGCAGGTTCTGCGCAGTCTGTCGCAAGAGCCTGGAGGCGCCTGCGCTCCGCTGCGAAGGTACCGTGGCAAGGGCACCCGGGCCTAAGGTCTTGGTGTCTGGTACTCAGGGTAGCCCAGCCCTTCCCCTGGGAGATAGAGGGGTGGAGTCTAACGGCCCTGGTGCACAGCCCTCCAGTAACCTGTGTGGGGTGATCCAGAGGCCAGACTCGGGGATCGGGGCTCCCGGAAGTGCTTGTGGGGAGCAGAGTCCAAAGGGGCAGGCAGGTCTGGGCGCAGGATGGCTGGGTGGCAGGTGGTAGGGGCAGAGTGACCTGGCAGGCTGGTGTGCAGACCTCGGCCTGCTGGGATGCGGGGGCACTGCGAGAGCCCCTAACCCTGCCCGCCCCCCAGTGTGTGAGCTGCACGTTCACCCCGACTGTGTGCCCTTCGCCTGCAGCGACTGCCGCCACTGCCACCAGGATGGGCACCAGGACCACGTGAGTGCTCGGGCACCGGGCAGGGGGTGGTCCCTACGGGGGCTCAGCTGACGTTACTTCTCCCCAGGACACATACCACCACCACTGGCGGGAGGGGAACCTGCCCTCGGGTGCGCGCTGCGATGTCTGCCGGAAGACCTGTAGCTCCTCGGAGGTGCTGGCTGGCCTGCGCTGTGAGTGGTGCAGCCTCCAGGTGAGGGCTGGGCCCGGGTGGCAGGGGTGGGCGGGGCCTCTACGTCAGAGCAGGGTGGGGCGTCAGGGGCCTGGCTCCCCCAGGAGAGGGCGGGGCGAGTGGGGTAGTGGTTCTGGAGTAGTGTGACCTCCAGGTGTGGGTGGGGACTGGCAGGGGGCTGGAGTGGAAGTTCTTGGGTGGCATACCTTCAGCTTTGAGGAAAGATGTGGCGAGGTCAGGAAGACAGGAGTGATAGATGGGATAGGAGTGTATGGCGCCCCCTCGCAGGCCCACCTTCCCTTCTGAGCCCATCTGCCTCAAGTTCTCTGGGGTGGAGTTTTCGTTAGATGGCGGAGACTGGGGGCACCCAGTCTGTGAAGTTGATGGGCGGTTCTTCGGTCTGTCTGTAAGTGTGGGGCCAGGGGTAGTTCTGAAGCCAGATACACTTGTGCCCCTAGGTCCATTCTGTCTGCTCCTCAGCGATCGCCCCTGAGTGCACGTTCGGGCGCCTACGCAGCATGGTTCTGCCCCCCACCTGCGTGCGCCTGGTGTCACGTAATTTTAGCAAGATGCATTGCTTCCGCATCGCGGAGACCACAGTCCAGGACACAGGTGAGGGCCTTGGGCAGGTTTCTGGGGGGAATGTGGATGGAGGCAATGGATCACGCAGGACTGGCCTTGGAGGGGCAGGGGGCAATTTGTGGGTACTCACTGTGCGGCAGCAAGATCACCCCCGTCCCTACCCCCCTGTAGTCAGCATGGATGAGCCTATGGGTCTACCCTTCCCCGCAGGCGAGGGCGACGATGGCGTGGATGGAAGTACTGCGGTGGGCCCAGGCAGAGAGGCGCTGGCGTCTCCAGAGTCCAGTGAGTGTCCTCCCTAGCGCCCACCCCATGCCTGTGCCCCATGGCCTCATGAGCCCCTCCCCCTGGCCAGGCAAGCAGACGCTGAAGATCTTTGACGGCAATGACACAGTGCGACGAAACCACTTCCGTCTGGTCACCGTTCCCCGCCTAGTCAGGAGTGAGGAGGTGCTGGTAAGTGAGCCCCGTGGGGACTGGGGTGCCAGCAGCAACCCATTCCCAGGGCAGGTTGGAGAGTGGAGTCCAGCCCACATGCCTGTCCTGTCCCTTCCAATCCTGTAGGAGGCAGCGATGCGGGCGTACTTCATCAGTGAGGACCCCTGTGACTTCGAGTTGCAAGCACCCCCCCTGCTCACTCAGGCTGGCGAGACTGAGGCCCGGGGGAAGGCTCGGAGCGGTGGGGCCAGTGGGGACGAAGGGGTCCGAGACCCCCCACCCGAGGCCTGGGTCATCCGTGCCCTGCCCCGTTCGCAGGAGGTCCTGAGAGTCTACCCTGCCTGGCTCAAGTGAGACAGTGCCCAGGCCCCATGGTCTGTCCAGTGGAGTGGGGAGTGTGAGGTGGAGCGGGGTCCCTGCTGGCCCAAGTCTGGGATCTGCTGGGTGAGCTGGAAGGGGTGTTGTGTGGGGGCGCTCTACCATTCTGAGTCTCAGGGTTTGCTCACAGGGTGGGCATGGCCTACGTGTCCCTCCGTGTGACCCCGCAAAGCACCGTGAGGACGGTGCTGCTGGAAGCGCTCCCGCTGCTTGGACGTCAGGTGTGGATGTCTGGGGTCACTGTGGGCTGGGCAAGTGGCCCCCGCATGGTGGAGGACCAGCCGCAGGCCTGACACGCCATTCTCTACCTTCAGACTGAGAATTCCGAGAACTATCAGCTGGTGGAGGTGCTCATGGGCAGCAGACAAGGTGAGCCCCTCTGCCCCTCATGACTGGACTGTGGTGACTCGAGTGGCCTGAGGTCCTAGCAGAGGGCTGGTACTGACTGTGTCCAGGACCCACTGCCTCGGGGTTCTTCTCTTGGTGGTGCCCCGGGCTGTGGGTCACACCCCATCTTCTAGCCCATTTGGCCCTGCATCCTGGGAGCGTCAGGGTCTACCGGCAGGCATTAGCTGAGGTGGACGCTGTGCTCTGTGCCCTCATCCTGCAGTTCAGCGGACAGTGTTGGCAGATGAGGAGCCCCTGCTGGACCGACTACGGGACATCCGGCAGGTTTGTGAGTGTGGGCACTGTCCTACGGCCTCCCGCCGTGTACGCCTTGCCTCCTCCAACTCTCTGCCATAGGTATATACCCCCCGCTGTGTATATGTGGCTCTGGGCAGAGGTGGACCACTGTATCTGCCCTCTGTGCCAAGTGTCCACTATGGCGTTGCAGTTTGTCTGGCTTGGCCTCCAGGACCACTCCTTCTGGCCCCAAGACTGGGCCGTTTCTGCTTGCTTTATATAGCTACGGGTTCCAGGCTGTGGTGTCCCTGAGCTTCCATGAGGGTGGAAGGAGATCTCCCTAGCATCCCCCTTTATGGCTCTAGAGGGCAGAGGCGCGTAGCATTTGCCAGTGCCCGGCCTGCACTGTCACCTCCCCACAGACGTCCCTGAGGCAAATGAACCAGACGCGCTTCTACGTGGCGGAGAGCCAGGCTCTGATCCCACGCGTCTCCCTGTTTGTTAGCGGCCTGCCACCTGGCCTTGCCTCCCAGGAATATGGCCCCCTGCTGCAAGAGGCGGTGGGCACCAAAGGTGGGACCTTCTGGCTTGCTGGGGCACCTAGAGGGACAGGAGGGGCCCCAGATGGCCATGCAGTACCTTCCTCCTTCCCCTGGTCTTACCCTCGCTTTGCTTCAGCTGTATCTGAGCTGGTCCCTGTCCTTTGTCCTCACCTGCAGGCTCAGGCCCGTGCCCCTCTTCTAAGCCTTCTGCCTTGCTACCATTCCCACCTGGTGCCCACCTCTGCCCTCTGCCTTCCCCACCTCAGCTCAGGCAGGGCAGAGAGCTCTGTGGGTGGAGTGGGCAGTGTTGGTGGGGACAAGGACTCGTGGTCACACGCAGGCAGGGCTGCCGGGGAGGGTGGATGGTGCCTCTGCCCCTGGACTGTGTCTGTCCTGGGTCAGTCGTGGTGGGAGCCAGGCACCCCTGACTGCATCTGTCTTTGCAGCTGACGTGGTGGCCGTGAGTCACGTCTACCCCTCCCAAGGTGAGCACTATTTTCTAAGGCTCAGGTTTGGCAGAACATTATTCCCTGGTTTTGATGGACAAGCCCCGCAGACCTTCATGTGTGAGGGCTTCTAGGGTCTGTCACAGAGGCTTGGTGTTCATCGGGGTTCTCTGTTATAACTCGTTGGCTAAGATGAGGCTCTGCTCAGAAACTGTTTGTGCCAAGACCCATTCTGACTCTGCGTTTGCCTCTGGTTATGGAAAATTTGAAACATACGTGGAGGTGGAGCAAGAAGCACGACGCACTCTCACGGGCTGCCACCCCCAGCTGTTCTTGTGGGTGTTTAACACCCTAGGCTGCCCTGGGTATGAGCTGGGGACGGGAGGCAGAGGGCAGGGCTTGATGGGGATGAGACGCAATGGTGGGGCCAGGGTGCTCGCCTCCCTGTCCCAGTGTACCTCCACGACTCCACGCATGTCCATTCAACAGAGGTGCCCTGTCATGTCTCTGGGCGGGACCAGTGAGGGGGGCAGGGAGGGGACAGGCTGGTGGGCTGACCTGAGCTGGTCATGTCCAGGAGACAGCCAAGGCCCCTGTGGACGGGCCCTGCCCTAGAGCTCACAGCCCACTTGCGCAGGTGCCCTGGTGCTGGACGTCACGTGCTTCGCGGAGGCTGAGCGGCTCTACATGCTGGTGAAGGACACAGCTGTGCAGGGCCGCCCCCTGACAGCCCTGGTGCTCCCCGACATGCTGGTGAGCAGGCTCTGCAGGACTTCCATTGTCTGCACACACCTTCTGCACACATGCCTTCACAACACCTCCACACACCAAACTACACACACAGTTAACTCCATACAACCTTCTCCACACACTTTCTCTACCCACAGCCTTCTTCACACAACTTTCTCCACACACAGTGGTCAGATTGTTTCTACACAAACATCTTCACATAAACTTCTTCACAGAAGTTTGAAGAAAGTGTGTGTGGACAAGGTCATGTGAACAAGGTTGTGTGTGGAGAGGTATGTGTGGACAAGGT